GAGGAAATGTCAAATGATACCATGAATTTATCTGAAATATCTAATCTATCCAGTTCTTCAGAGAATTGGAATGTATCCCTCAAACTGTGATTTGCAAGCGCTTTTCTGACGGGTTGCAATTTCTGTTCATCGAGCCAATTTGTGACAAGGTGAATTTATCATGGACAAAATGGGTCTCAGAGGAACACTAGACTTACGGATTTTTGGATGGTCGTGAACCTCTTGGTTTAAGTTCATTGTATGTTGCTCCATCAATCAATTGCTTACTTTGTTTTCAATCGAAACTGTCGCATCCTTTTGGGATCTACCAAAACTGTGAATCTGGACAATTCCCTCAAAGGCCATGAAATAAAATGAGCTCATTTTATTCTGCAAATGTTTTTGTTCTTGCCTTGTTCAAACTTAGCCAAATACTTTTTATATATATTACGTACGCGCAAGCAAATATAAACAAATGTTTTTTGAGTACTCATATACTTAAGAAGTAAATAAGAATAAATAATAAATAAATAAATAAATAGTAAATGGAATTGTACTTTTTGAGAGGGAGATGAAAAACAGTTACATCTCCTTTATACAATTTAACTAGTTCACTTTAAAGGTTCATTATGAGCTTAATAACTTGAAGTTAAGTTTTTTCACCATTTTCATTTCGTTCAGTAACAATGTATGAAATGTAATAAATACGTTTAGATCTCGTAATAACTTTACTTATCTAAAAAATTAGTGATGGTAAAGACTCTTAGCTTACAAAACATTTTGCGGTTTGTACTATTATTAATAGCTAAATTCGCTTAAGTGATCATATAGATGTAAAGAATGGAATGAAAAAAAGGTAATACAATCAGAATAAACTAGAAATCATATCGACCAATTTAATAATTTCTAATAACTATTTTGTTTACACATGAAATTAAGATAAGACTAATGGTAACATCAAAACACCGAAATTTGGAGCTACTTTGAGCTTGAGCAAGTGACATTTAATTGTAAAACTCAAACTATAATTCGTTTTACCATTTTTAGATAAATCTATATCAAGGTAAAATATTTTGCTTGTATGTTAGTGTATGCGCCTATGTAATAAAGAGCAAGTAATTTTGCAGACAGAAAAACAATGCACGTTGTTGTTAGCTGTATTAAGCACTACTAGAAAAGAAATTTATAGCATGAATTAATGAAGTTCTAAATGAGGTTGTGGGAAGTTATCAAATTTTATTATTTGATTGATAGCTTATATATAAACAGGATCAGTAAACAAAATGTTTTGTTTACTTAAGGTTATGCATTAGTAAATTCATTCATATGGATGCTTACTGATTTGTTCTAACAGCATGCCTTAACGCCAAGAAGAAGTTAAGAGTCAAGGTAATATGTCATGGTTTATAGATAATAAGTTAATTGACTGAGCTCTAAGTGACTCGGTAGACATATTAAATTCTTCTATGGATTTAACGAAGTGTATAATAAAAACATGGCGGCCTATTCATAACGGGTTACCACAAATTTCTACCGAACACGTAATTCAAATTTTTCTCTCTTTCGGTTTGTTTCAATCATTTAAATATAAACTGTGAACATAACATTCATTCTTAAACATTATAGAAATATTTTTAACTCTACTTTTATCAAGTTAACAACAAAACAGAGGGAAAATATCATGTAATGTGAAGGTGGACTTTTAAATGCGTAAAATTACATCATATTTCTATCCGTTGGATACTTAGGTTGAGCTAGGGTTTCCTGTACTGGCTGAGTCAACCGTTATCATCATCATCATCAAACTTACACTCGTGTTTATGTTGATTTTTCATTCTAGACTGGATGCTAGTCTAAAACCAACTGGCTACTTCACCTTATTGCCTTGAATACTGTTACGTTTGACATTATCCAGATACAATAACCTATTCTTATGAAAATATTCTTCTGGAATAAAGCTATTGTTATGATTATCATAGAGTGAATTATTGATTCAGAATTGAAGGCTCTACTGACGTTTTATGTAATGATCGCTATTTCAGCGTTTTAAGCGTAAATTCATCATGAGTTAACTAAAAGTATGTTATTTTATTTATTCAAACCATAAATTTATACACAGTCTAGAAGGTTAAGATAATATGGGTCTATTTCAGAAAGAAAATGGTAAACTTTTATATGTATTCCAATAGGTTACCTGAAGGTAGTTTATAAATCGTGCGAAGCTTTAGATTCAGTTATTTTAACAGAGCTAATTTAAACTAATTTAAAGGCGGCCTGTCTTAATGTTGGGCTACCAAAAAAATTCTCCACAGAATATATTCCATCAACTTCTTCATTTTTAGTTTGTTTTACTCTCTTAAGTATCTTCTGAACGCATCATGCACTCTTGAAGGTTTTAAAAATACTCTTGAACTTTTGTTTCTCACACTAAGAGCAAAACAAATGAAAAACGTTTCACTGGTTGAAAATGGATTTGTAAATGCTCAAAAATACACCCCCATTACTACTACTAGGATATCTGTGTATGGGATTATGAATTTCTGTGTAGGGTGACTTAACTACCACCATCAGAGAGACACTCTATTTTGTGTTAATTTCCGAATCCAGACCAGATGCTAATGTAACGTTAGCTGCCCGTTTCACATTTACGCCTTCAATACTGTTATTATTAACACTATGAAGATGTAATAAGTATTTCTTTTAGAAATATTGTACGGAAAGCAAATCTATTGAAATGTTCCATGCTGAAAATTCCGTATTATATCTTAGATGTTGTTTGGAATAAAGCGATTATTATGAATTAAATACAGCTTGATGAATGTACATTCCGCAGATTCTAATATGAATATCTACTGCAACTCTAAGCTTTTCATTTTGCACATTTGGGTCTATATTATCTGGATTAGTATAGACAGTAGGATATACTTGCGCAACTGGAAAACTGTATACACTGTTATGGATACTGGGGTTGTCTGTATATTGTCAGTCAGTCGTGTTGAAAAGTCGCTCCAGTTTGCCTTGTTTTATAGATTTTTCACGAAAAGTAGGTATGTTTTAATTAGAACCACATGTTATATTATTGTTTATTTATCTATTTGAGAATCGTATTAATTTTTAGTTTATGTTCTATCTCTGTTAATCTGACACCAGTGTAAAGCACTTGTCACTTCTTATCCTTATGTAGGATGTTTCATATCCTGAAGTAGCTGCACTGATTTCAGTTAATTTCTGTTCTTCATTTCTCCTTACATTAAGCAGAAAAAACAATTATATATCTATCTTTTTGATCAGTGGAAAAGTTTGATATTTCAAGGGCAATCGACTACATTATTTGTTGTAGCGATAAATAAGGTTTAGTTAGTTTACAGGCTTAAAGTACCTAGTTTCCTACTTTTAAAACTAATAGTAAATTTGTGATATTCAAAGTGTTTTCCATCTATTTGTTCAACTTGAGAATACTTGAAATGCATTTGAAAGTATGAACAATAACTTGAATTCAGCCTTAGAGGAAGTTGTGAGGATAAGCTCAGGCTTTTCTTTTAATATCTCATTGATTTCTATTTAGTCTATTACAATTCCTGGAGCCATTTTTAACATGTATTAGAAACAGCCTAATTAAATATATTTTTTTCAATATATTTTTTTAAACTTATCAGCTGCAAATGCCTCCTTTTCACAAATTGTTCATTTTATCACTAGTTGATTTTCTGAAACTCAGTGTTACTTGTGATCAAACATGCTATTTATTGCCTTCTTTCTTTCTGTCTAGTAGCTTACTTCAAAATAAATCTGCTACTGTACTATTCTAAAGTATAGAAACTTTAAACACCACACATATTGCTCCTTTCATATTTGAATTACTTATCAAAGCAAATTATCAAGTTTTTCTAGCATGGTAGGCTCACCTTCACTTCAGAATATTGATCAAATCTGGCACTGGTGGAACATATCTTTTCTAGCTGATGAGTAAAGACCGATCTTCTCTTTATTTAATGCTAAGTGTAATGTACAATCTGCTTTTATTGTGGATATTATAGGGGTCACATATTATCTTTCCTATAATTAAATTCAGATGCACCAAAATTTTGGTTAATCTTTTATTAAAATAAGTAGTTAATAGGCACTAGATACTGAAAGTAGGCTTTATATTATTTTCCTATGATACTGCGAAGAAAGATATATACAAGTTTTGCGGAAACTCATGGTTATCCAGAGGTTTAAATCTACATTGTTTAATGTTTACATAATACATTTTATCACTATGCTATTCGACTGTCGTATTCCCTAACCCTAAGATCAAACAAAGCACCTACTATTTAAGTCTTAGTGATGCTATTACTCGTAAATATTGTGAATTGGCAAAAGTTTGATAAAACGCGGTTTTTCTTGTGATGTTTGTTTTCAAATGCATGGTTAACTTCTGTAAAACAGATTTGGTCGATTGTAAAGTATAGCTAGCTGCCTTCGCAAACTGTTTCCTTGCTCTATTACACAAGAGGTACATAAAGTTGCATAGTTCATTCACGTTCGAATCAGTAGCCATCTAGCAAAAGCGAACCTACCACTCCACACAGCAATTGACGTGTCGAATGAATGTCTAACTAGTTGAAGTCTATCCATAGTCAAACTAAGTTGTTCTTTGAAGAAATCGTTTGCAAAATATCACAATTTACTCTGTAAAACTTTATTTTATGTGCAAATTTTTTAACAATCTTAGAGCCACTAATGTAAAAGCCTACTGATTATACCGCAGTTAACTCACAGTATTGTTTATATGTTAGTTGGAAGTAAACTAACCAGTGAAAGCCATCAGATTCACTTATCAACTGAATAAAATAATGATTTCAATGGTAAGATTTGACCGTTAAATCAAAGTAAACATTTCGGAAAAAACTTGTGACCCTTGTATGAGAACGGCACCATACCAAGTCATATCGTTACTTGCTTCGCAAAATTATGATGATTCTTATACTTATTGAAGTGATATTATTGCAAATTATTTTGTGTTCTAATGATTTTAGAGACAATGAATGCTATGTGGCATGATAGTACATGGGATCCTGCTTGGGACACTTGGTGGCATTATAAAGAAGGTGTAATAGGAGGTATGTTTTACAAAATTGAAACTGATGTCGAGAATCAAGTTATTTCTGCTAACGTTTTATTTCTGATGTAATTAACTGAAGCTATTTTCAGCCTACCAAACATTTATAAAGAGATATTTTTAATCGTCTGAATGTGGAGTATTTTTAGTTTTAAAGTCGTTATTTGATATTGTAGTTTAGGAAAATTAGTCAACAGTCACACATATTCTAGATGATATTTAATTTGATAATCACTGGAAAAATGATATTGGGGGCCTTCAGATTGCTGGCTTTATTTACTGAGGCTAGAGACTAAACTACTAAATGGACTTCGTGTCATATTTAGAACGGTGATTTTTAATGTCTTTCAGTTAAAACAATGTCAGGAGATCAATTAAATTGTCAGAAATTCAGTTGTGCTCTCTAGTTCATACCTATTTAAAGTGGGATAAGGACATCTTATTGAGAGATCGCTTTGACAACGTGAGTTAATGCAGGTATCTGTGGTGCAAATGACAGTTTAGGAAAATATCTGATGCTTATGGATCTTCGGAATAACAATCATGCTGTTTTTTTAAATAAGACCTATATAAATGCATTAAGTCGTTGATCAGTGTATTACTGAAGTAAGTTCGTCACAAAATATAATCTTAGACCATTACTTAAGCCTAACAATATCAGTTGCAACATGGGATCAGTGTGCGTTAAAAGTTTCTTATATGTTCTCTGATAAGCTTTGGTACTATTTTAGTTGTCGTTCCAGTTATCCATCATTTGGAAGAGGACAAAACTATCTTCAGTGTTGAGTATATTAATTCAGTCATCCTTGTACGTCTTGGTAGATTTACGAGTTTCTAAGCTGAAAGATTGCACCCATTTCTTTTTATTGATTTTATTGTATGTGCAGTTTGCTGTCAATTGAGATTTAGATCTGAGATCAATGTTGGATCCTATGGACAGCAAGGCATACATCGGTTAACCACATTTATATTTGTCAGTTTTATCTATTTAATTTCTGTGACACTGATAATTACTACCTTCTGATTAGACTTTAAATTACACTGGAAAAATGTTGTTTAAAAATAGCAAGAACAATAGCTCTAGTAGAATAGCGTGGATTCATTTTATTCCGTGGTTTCTCATCAACTGCTTACAAACCGAAACACTTTTAACATCAGCTAGTACAAAATGTTTGTCAACTGGAATCAGTTTTGATAGAAAATTGTCGGTTTGAACTAATAGTATCATTGATATGAAGTAGGTGAAAATGCACAATTGCACTTGTCCGTCACCTATGATCCAAATTTCTCTGTGGAATATTTGTCTGATCCTTCTATATATTGATATACTTAGTTCCACATATTTATCCAAGCAATTGCACATTCTGAGTTACTTCATATCAGTGATATTTTTAGTACAAGCCTACAGTTTCCTGTCAAACTGATTCTAGTATGGAAACATTCTGTATATTATCATTATTATTTGTCCCATAGGTTCCTAGTGGAACATAGGACTTCAGTAGCACATCGACTTTTGACTCGGTTCTCTTCAGCCTTTTTAACCTGGTTCCACAACTACCCACAAGCTTTCATTTCTTCCTCACATCATCTCCATGTCACCCTTGGATGCCTATTCTCATGGAGCTGTTTTTCTTGTTCTATTGAAATTTGTGAAGGGAAGGAACTGTGTGAAAATGTTGTTTGTTTGAGGAGTGTATCACTAGCAACTTCAATATGGTTACGTAGTCCCTTATTACTAAGGTGAAGAGATTTCTGAAATTCTTTCTGATTTGATGCTCACTGATAATAATGTGTGTAAATATTTGTACTACCAAAATTACCAAGGAAATGGTTTTTTTAAAAAGGATGTTAACACGCATAGGAACGTTCTGTGTTACAATTCAAGTGGCACACATTCTTAACTTGGAAATTTTCTATCCATTGTCCTGGAATGGCATTCGGTAAGAATTAATGCTAGTTCTTGAGTAATTCTTTAAGCTTCACAAATACGTTAATATCCCCAGGTATTATGTCAAAAATGCTGTTAGCTAAGAAAGACTTTAATGAAATATAAAGATTTAAAAAACATCCTGGAGTTAGCACTAAACGTCCTTTCATTCCTTGATCAAAACCCTGTACTTCTGTGAAGCATAGGTGATTAGATATTTTTTGTATATGAATATGTGGTTAGTGGTTGCGCATCAACTGAAACGCTTATCTAGACAAAAAAACTTTCACTTTTCTTATCCAAAGTTGGAATCAAAAACCGAGATACTAAAAACTAAAATGAAGACTCAGTGTTTATTCTTTTTAATAAGACTTTGGGAAATGAAAAAAAGTAAATTAAATAGCAGATGTACAGGATATTTAATCCGAGTTTTATTAAAGAGTTCAAGAACATCATCCAGTATTGTTTTACGGATGAGAAAGTAGATCTATAATTGACGCCTTCATTAAAGATTATGAAAACACTCAATTTTCAGGGGAATCCTTAATCATAGTTGTTTTCAAAGTATAGAAGCAAATATGGAAAACATTTTTTTAGAGTACTTGTATTACTAGAGTTTCGTCAATTTACAGGAAAATCTTTGACTTATATGCGCAAGAAACCTGACCTAGTCATATTGGTTTTCTTAATCTTGATCTGAATTCAATTTTAGAAATAATATCTTCCCTTCATTGAAATCACTCCCTTCACTTTACTTCTGTTCACTACTCATTTTCCCTTATTTTCGACTATAATCAACTTCCGAAATATTTGTCACGTTACTCAAATCCACGTTGCAGACCATGTTTTCATCATTCTACATGATCTTTCATATTTTGACTATTTTTGACAGTTTTAATTACCTTGTGCTAAGAAATTTATCTTAATAAAATTTACTACGTTTATTTTTGTGCTCGATAGACTACAGCAAATCAGAAATGCAAATGTTGTTATTTGTGAATTCCAGGCGTTTCTATCTCGATAAGAAGATTCTTTTTAGGAGTATGAACCTGATATTAGGTTTCACGTTAATATTCACATTTTTGGTACAGAAGATGACCTTACTGATAATTCAGTTACATCATGGTATGGAACAAAAATCTATATAGTGTTGGTGAGTGAAACAGCAAACTGGTCAGAGTACAGTGGCGTTGTGATGATCGATGACTCAAAACTCCATTGTACTTTTCATAGCCGAAGTAAATTTCCTCATCCCATTTTCGCTCCACGTCACTTGAATCACTGGAATAATAAACAATCTCGGAGGAGTTTCCTAATTCACTCACCTATATTATACAAGTCACTTTAAGGGTCACCCTAGAAATGACTTATATAATCAGTTATGTTTCTTCATACCGGCCGGAAAAGCAGATATGCATGAAATGCAGGAGTCTGACTGGTCGTTTCATTTGTTGCTAACACTGCTTCTAAAGTGACTCCATTATATTGATGTTTGTTCCATATCATGATCTAATTCGATTTTCACCTTCTGTACCAAACTCGAATAATAATGTGAACCTGATGGTCGTGTTATGTCGTGAACTGAAAGAGGTTGGAAATATGAACGACCAGATTCCGACCTAGTGGCTCAAGTTTAATGTCTTGGCTACGGAAACTAAAGGTTCTGGGTCTGATTCTCATAGAGCAAGGTCATGTGTGCGCACTGCTGTGGGATTCCATAGTGAGACGAAACACTTGTCCAGTGTTGCCAGGTTTTCAACTTTCCACCAACTGATTTTGGTCTTTGATAATAACAACTTGAAAAACATTAAAGTGAAAACGTAAAATCGGATTCATACTCCTGAAAAAGGATTTTCTTAGCAAGATTGAAACATTGGGAATATGAAATGATATTTGTTTATTTTGTTGTCTGTTCCAGTATACTATGCCGGGATTGGACAAGTAAAATACATCTTGTTCACTGAATCATACTAAATTGGTGTCAAAAGTTTTCCAAACCATAAAGTCCTTTGATGGTCAGGATGCGTTCAAACAATGACGTTTCACCCACATGATCTGTATTTATAATTCTACTCCCTCGAGGACACAGATTTTGAAAGAACAGCTTCATAGAAAAATGTGTTGTCCTGCTTTCTTGTCTTTATAACTATTTTGCATTATTGGATACAATGAGGAAAGGTTTATCAGTTTGGATAATTCGAGTAACTGACTAAAACTTTTAAAGCATGTATGAAAATTAAAGTTTTCCCATTGATTTTAAGGTCCAAGTCACTGGGGGCAAACTGCTTTCATGGCTATGGCTAATGATGTTTGGCCAGCATGTTATCAGGGTAAAATGCAATCGCCAATCAGCATTTCTACAAAACACTTGGTATTCGACTCGAACTTGACACCGCTAAAAATGTCAGGCTCGGATAAACAAGTGAGTTAATGATGTCTTCATATCGTATTTCCCTTTTGCCTCTAAAATTTAACAGATCTTAGTAAATTTCATTCTGTCTACGTATTGCTAGTTGTTGTACATAACCGTCAAAAGGTAATGTTGACGCTTGATTGATGTTTGTTGTTCTATCAATCGAAGATTTTACGCCCTTTCATCTATGTCTTATGATGTAATCAGTTTCAGACATTGTAATGTGGTTAGGAAATATACTGAGATAGATAATACATTTGGTTACAGACGAATATGAAACAGAATGCTTAACATTTGATCATTAATTACAAAGTTGTGTTTATTATTTGGTGAAACGGCTCATGATTGAAAAATTCAGAAGAGAAGCTATTCGTCATACTGATGAATCAAAACAGCATCAAGCATTTAGTATATTACGTGGGGATTTTTACGAATAACTGCAACTTTCTAGTGATGAAATGTTCATCTGTAGTGAAACGTGTTGGTAATTCGAAAAAAATTTCGTGTCAGTTTGATTCGTTTGGGAAGACATCAGTGTCACGATTTGCTAGGTTATTTTGATCTTTACCAGGGACTCAAGGGTTATTTTATTCAAAACATTACAAAACATTGTACAAGTTATACAGAAAACTAACTCATACAGATCGAAGCCTCAGCTACAGTTGTAACAGCTTAACAACACACAAAATTAGTTGTATGAAAACATTGTTCGAAAGAAAAAAGATACGCTGGAGCACACCGATCTTGTAGAGGAAAGAAGAGGACAATATAATGACTGTTTTCCAGAAAAGCAGCTATCCATGCAATTTTATCACAAGATGTTTGTATAATTTGTCACCAACCAAGAAACCAACCTCGAAGACCAAAATACGGATTGTCATATCCTACATGAAGAACGTCTCCGAGATCACGACTTAGGTATTGAAGCCATTTAGAATCGCCGTAACTCACAAGTTTATAAAATCGTTTCACTCTTTGTTACACAGGCCAAAAGATGCAACAACAAAGGAAGACAAACCAAACGCCATCTACGAAATAAACTTCATGAACTGTGAAAACACTACGTCAGACAGGGTGGCCACCTTCTTCGCATCCGTCTGCAGGAACACCAACTAGCAGTGAAGTGAAATGACATGTCGTTGCCCACTTCAATGTGAACGGACAACCGTGGACATGAATTTGATTGGAAAGATGTGGAAATCCGGGACAGGGGAAACACAACGAATCCCAGAGAATTCCTAGAAGCTTGGTATCCAGATCAGTCAGTAATCAACAAACATGCTGACATTGACCCAATCTGTCAATAACTAGGTGGCAAAACAAATGAAAAGAAAGGTGGTCACCCACCCTGTGCACATCTGTGCACTGGACAGTGAGCCACACCTATTATGTGAGGGCTAATGACATTATCTGGCTGCTCAAACCTTGGTAGGTGGAGTGTTGTCCGGACCCGCAATCCCATATTTGATAGTCATCTCCTTACACCGCTGAGCCACAGCTCCGATAAGAAGTCAAATTGGTATTCACCACAGACTGACATCACTTGCAGAAACACTGGACGGCGGTTTCATCCTAGTATGGTATATATATATATATATATATATATATATATATATATATATATGATATTAAAAGATTCCAGTCCGTGAGGATGATTTAAACTAACTAGTGGGGAGGGAATTGAAATAATAATAGTAGTAATAAGAATAATAATAATGATTATAACTACACTAATGTTGCTGATTGATGACGTAAAGGTCAAACGACAACAAAATTACCTGGCGGTTGCTGCTTCGAATCCGGCCGCGGTTAAGATTTTCATCTCACCTTCAATCGTCACCCAGTATAAATACTAGTATGTCAAACGACGGCCATCTCAGATAGTCAAATGATATATGCTTATATATATATACATATACACGTATACATATATATGTATATATATATATATATATATGTATATATATACGTGTATGAAACTTTGTGTAGCCAGAAAATATGTGTCTACAACGCCCTTTGTCCCTTAGAGAAAATATTCGTCTGATGTATTCCAAAGTATTGCTAGCCTCTTTCCGTTTATATGCGTCCAATTACTTTTAAAGCTATAAATACTTCAAAAAATGAAAATAATAGTGGATGAATTCTTGAAAACACGACCTGGCTGTTAAAAACCATAAGTGAGAAGTAAATAATGTTTATCAAGACAGTTCAAAATTACTGAAGAAATCAGTAGATTTATTTAGAAAACTAGGTTTATGATTTGCTTCACATCATACGTTGCTTTGGTGAGTCTGGTACTGAAAGTTTGGATTTTTACAACACAAACTCAGGTGATTTTATTGGCACAATATTTTGACAAATAAGATTGAATGTCCGCTGCACCTTGTCATAAATTAAGTTCCGATAAATAATAATACAAACTTTGCGCATATTAATGTGTATCCAAATCAATGTAAATATAAATTGTAGAAAAATTGTCCGTAAAAATAAATCTTTGTGAAGAAATTTAATTGCAGTGACCTTTTCACTCCATTTTTTTCAGATTGATGTGGAAATAGTGAATACTGGTCAAGATTTACAGGTGAAAATTCTTGATTCAACAACATCAGTTATATTCAGTGAAGGTCCATTAGTGTATGATTATAAACTTTTTGGTGCGCTCATAAAGTTTGGTTCAAGATCAGATCGTGGTTCAGATCATCAAATAAATGGTGTTGCTTTTCCGGCTGAGGTAGTCATCTATTTCATTGTTCTTTTACCTGATAATATGATTTTCTAGTGCAAAACTACTTATTATTTATAGAGTGTTTGTCGCAAATTTTCATCAGGAGCATAATGGAAGACGGGTTTTGATTTTTATCCCATCAGCAAAGTAGACAGCATTTTAAACAGCGTAATGAGAAGACGAAGATTATCTGGAACATGTGATGTATTAGCACTATACATTTCAAACAATCTGATCACACATGGACTTGTCCAACTATTTATAGGAAGACTTATGAAACGTGTCCATGAATTTAATAGGAAATATAGGAATAGGAATAATGGAGAAAACAAAAAGATCTTGATCACGTTACTCTTGGTATGAAAATTAAAATCAGTACTACGAAGGTAGGTTGAGCGTGAGTACAAATTGTTTTTGTATACATAAAGGTGGTTTGGATTTACACATGGCAAGAGCTTCAATAAATTTAAGCACTCGGCTCTGACCACTTTTATGTAGTACTCTAAAGGCTGTTTTCATGTCTATCCTATAGTTAGTTTCCAGTATATATTTAGCGATAGACGAAGATGGATGTTTGTCACCTGCACTTATCCGCTGATCTGTTGAGGCCATTTGTTTTTATAGCCACTTAGGTACATGTTCAACCTTCCTTAACTGAATATCACCATTACTCCTCCCTATATATCTGTAAATAGTTCGACAAGTCCATTTGTGATCAGATTGTTCGAAATGTATAGCGCTAATACATCACATGTTTGAGATAATCTTCGTCTTCTTATTACGCTGTTTAAATTTATCGAAGGGACCAGTTGCTTTAAATTTTTAAAAAGAAGACAACATTATGTCCATTCCAATTACTTCTTTAATTTTAAACGAAGAAATAAATATTATTTGTTTGGAGACCACCGACAACGACTAACCATTCTTCTTGGACTATTCATCAAAATGACCTGTATTTTAATATGCTAGTGTTGTTGCTGAGATAAGGAGCTGGTTTGTACCGCTTTAGAAAATGAGCAGATTATGTACTTAGCCAATGAATTGTCAAATTAATCTTCTTTTAAACAGGTCTACACTATCAAACTGTAATTAGATTTTTTCCACTGAACGGAGTACTTAACACTTATTTTATTAGGTAGAGACAGAATAGACGCTTCAGTATTGTTTTAAGTTTCATTCTTGTGTTATTTATTTGAAAATACTTTCATATTTCCCATTGTGATGCCAAAAACAAGATATTCAGCCAAGAGGACTCTCTCTTCTCAACGAATTTATTCTCAAGCTGTACATTCGTATTTATATGATACTTGAAAACTGTAATCCGTGAGGAAGATTTAACTTAAATAATGGGGAGGGGGTTGAAACTATGAGGGTTAAAGGAAATGCATCAGAATTTATATCCTAGTACATTTAATCTTTACCAACCATTCAACCAACCCTAACAATGATTTTAAGATTGTCTGTCGAATTTGCTTGAACACGTCACGTTTCCTGTGTGTTCAGCTTCTAAAACCAGCAGAGGCCTTGGCTGTGCATGAACTGAAGCCTGACCTTTGTGTGCAAAAGGAGTGTGTGCAGTCTTTGGCTGTACTTTGGCCTTAATTTACTTTGGTCTTCATGCGCCTAGTTCCTTTTTCGTTTCTCCCCTATTTTTTGTTAGATCAACTGTTTTCGGTGTTATATCATTTGACCTTCCTAATAATCGCAACTTTTAACCAAACATTTTCAATTTATTCCAATTAACTTGTCTCATTCATATTACCTAACCCTTTGATTGTTTATTAACACTATCACGTTTTCAATCTATATGCACCTTATAAATGATCTAGAAATCTTACGTAACTGTTTTTACTATCACTTGACCTTTACGTCATCAACTAGCAACATTATTATCATAACCACCATTATTATTATTTCAACCCTCATTGGTTAAGTTAAATCTTCCTCAAGGACTGGAGTTTTTAAATTTCATATATTTACGAATGTACAGCTTGAGAATAAATTCTTTGAGAAGAGAGAGTCCTCTTCGCTGAATTTATCTGAATAATAACATAGTATACAATCGTACAACAGCGGATAGTCTTCAAATCATAAGTAGATAGACATATTCACTTTCATGCATGACAAAATCCAACCATCAGTTCAATCTCAGTTTTCACATAACAAAGCTGTTAGATGTGATCATGACCATATGTTGTCTTATGCATTTATCATGTAATTTGAGAGTTTATAAGTACATTTTAGGATATAAGTCATGTTGTACAAAAGTGTTTAATTTACTGATCAGTAATTTCACTTTATCATCCATCATTGAATACCAGTATATCTGATCAGATCAGATACAACGACTATGAACATTCTGAAGTGCCTATTCATCCCAACAACATGACTTTCTTCACAGCAGTCTAAAGGTTTCCTATATTAGATCATTATGCCTTTTGTTTTTCACTGATATGGTACTACATTCTTTTCAGTATCTTGAGTGTTTATGTTTGATCAAGTCCTTTGATGCAGTACTTAGACAGGGGTTTTCTATGCACTTCAGTTTCGCGAAATGAATGTTCCATCAAACATGCCAAAGTGGATTTTCATAGAAAAGAGTAATTTCGGTCATACACTCTGACGAAACTAATAGATTCCTATATTACTGATAATAAAGTTACCAAGTGTGGTAGAAAAAATGGGTGTTTTTGAAGTCATAATATAGGCAATTGACAAAATCTACTTGAAAATTCCGAGTAGCATTCCAGAAAGATGTATATACTGTTGAATTGAAATATTAAGACTGTATTTTCATTACTGTATTCCGATTTTTATATTCCGTGTTTAACATTACCCTAAAAGTAGGATCCGAAAAAAACTTCAGAATATATTACTATATAAAGCTAACTAGGAACATATTTGGAGGTGGATACTCCGAAGTTCTAATGAGGAACTGTGTACCATTGGGTCAGTCAATCGGAAGTGAAGCCAATATCAACTTGGGACCTTTCTGGACAATTACACTATTTCACGAATTGGTGAAAGTAGAAAACTGTGGACCACTGGATTGTGACTCAGTGATTGAATGGTCAGGGTGTTTGCTGTGAGATCTAAAAGTTCTGAGCTGCATCACTCGTGGAGTCATTGGTGCATATTACTGAAGAGTCTCATACTAGGACGAAACAGCTTCTAGTACTCCCAGGTTTTTAGTGGTTAGCCAGATTATGTCAATCGGCGACGAATACTACCTTAAAGATAAAACCAATATGAGCTTCTGATTACATAACTGTTTATTATTCGAGATAATTTATTTGATTATGGCCAGCAAAGGAGTCTACGATGCGCGTTTTGTCCTAGTTGGGACTCATCAGCCAGGTTTGCCTGCATTCCTGCAGGCAGTGATGTTGTTCCCACTGAGAAATGAACCTCGTACCCATCACTCCAAACACCCAAGCGTTATCCACTATGCCACTAAGGTACGATAGCCACCGGGTGTTAGTTATTACTATTTGTTGATATACTTGTAATTCTCCGTAGGCGCGTCCCTAATTCCTCTGCTAGCCACAACCAAGTAAACTACCATAATTAATGTTGAGGTTATTTCAAGGCATCCGCATAGAAGACCATATGCCAAAGTAAAACGAACAATTCGATTCAGTATAACAACGGATAATTACAAGCTTATCAATAAATAATAATGTTTATGACTCAGTCAACATAAAGTATAAAGTTATCGAGTTATTTTTTGGCATCCCATTTGAAAATAAGTTATATTGGATTTAAAACATTTGAAACTGATTTTCAGTTTCTGGACTCTGTCCTTGCACGTGCTCATTGAAATATCATGAATTCGTTTTCTGTTGGTCCATTGACACTGGAAACCGAGTGGCAAGAAGTACAGTTATGCAAAATTATATATATATATATATATATATATATATATATATATATATATATATATATATATGGTCATGTATTCTATGCGTCACTGACAGGAAACAACTGTTGGCATGCAAACTTTTATCTTTAGGTTACGACCCTGACAGAATAAAGAAACTCAAATACGCACTTTAGTTAATATTTTTATCGATGCCAAACCTTCGGTTCTTACTTCTAAGTCCTAAATATAGAATCCGTTGCAACGTGTGTTCTATGTGGTAGTCAGTTAGTTAGCTAACGCAATAAAATGTTCCATCATAATTGCTCCGATAATTGTACATCAAATAATTACAACTTTAAAATATAATCATTGTGCCTGTCTTGTTTCACCTGGGAATCATAGAACACCTCATTCTATCGTGGCATTTTAGCACACTACCTGGAAAAGTGCAAAATTGAGCTAATTCCAGTGTGAAGTTGCTGTCAAGATTTACGTAATCACTTGTAAGATACTTCTACTCTCATTTTATATCATAGAACAATTCTGATGTCACTGTGAATTATTTGACTACATTTAACAATGATTGTAATGAATACTTTCTTTCTGATTTTCTAAGTACCATTTTCTGTTTTTCATTCCTCTTGCATTCACAGTTACAGCTATATGCTTTTAATTTTGCCTTATATCCAAATTATTCGGTTGCACTTTCAAAACCAAATGGTTTGGCCGTGGTCTCTATCTTTCTGAAAGTAAGTTACATTTATTGATATAGAGGTGGAAAACAATTTCATATCATTTTCAGACAAATTTACACTTTAGTATATGTTATATAAGTTTGGCTTTAATAGGTGTGTTTCACCTATTAGGGTTTATGAGATCAGTCTACTTAGTTTGACCTTCTTATCACTGATAACTTTGAGAGACATTTGAATTTTCTCTGTAAGTGTATGACTCGAATAATTTTGCTAACCACATTCTTACGGAGTTTCTAGTTGGTATTATTTAAACTTTTAAACACAATCTGTTGCTTGCAGATTATTAGGACTTAGGCAAACTGGCAATCTGTTTATTTAAAAATTAATATTCTGTGTTGGTCAGTTCGGACTCTTTGAGATCCATTGTGTTGAATTTTTATCCAATAACTGCGCTTAAGTTGCATTTTAAGTATGAAATAAAGATAAGAAATAAATTTATAACTGACTTTTGTAGTGGATAAGAATAACTGTTCTTATAATAATCTACTTGGTTGTGGCTAGCAGAGGAATCCAACGTGCGCTTTTTGACCTATTTCAGACTTGTCAGTCTGGTGCTGCCTGCATCCCAGTGCCGAGTGATATTGTTTCCACTGAGACTGGGACCTCTTGTCTATCGCTTCAAACACCGAAGCGTCATCCACTAGGCCACTGAGGCATGAAAGAGGTCGAACAATTCGATCCAATATAAAAACGGAGAACTACAAGCGTATCAACAAATAGTTATGATAGTTTTTATTTACTTCCGTATGTACGTTTAAAATAAGAATTTAGGTTGCAAACACAACCACACTTATTTTTTACTCAGTAAAGTTAATTATTGGATTAATGGGACAGACATCTAGCCTGTATATCATAGATACATAGATACTGGGGGATGTGTATGGGAACAAGAAAAGAAAAGAAATTTATCAGCAGAGAAGAAAAGAAGTATACTGCTTGATTTCAGATGTATTTTTGGCTGGCCTGGGAAGGTTCCTATGACGTTCTAAAATAACGTGCTTACAGATTCGATTTACACCGTGAGGCACATCAAATTAGAGAACTTACCCAAAAAGTCGGAGAAACTGTTGTGTGTATTTTCTTTCAGCTCAGCATATTGTGGAGTATATTCAAAGCGAAATCATCTGTTCTTGCAAACTGCTTCTCTATGTTCATTGATGATTCGACGAGATTGTGAATATTTATTTTTAGACAGTGTCGAAGTAAACTGGAGAATCGAAGAGGTAAAAATTAGCATTCACAGCTACAGAAAACTGATATATTATTCAAGGCAGTTCTAAATAAGTCATATGCAATGAAAATACTATAATCACTATCAGTAATAAAGAGATAATGCTACCTAAATGCTGATAAGAAAAATACTGCCGCCTTTACTTTCTTTTGGTGGATTATAATCTATCAGATTATTTTTGAAGTTGTATTAAATAACCTGCCGTTCGAAATTCGGTGTCAAGTCTATTTCTGTGTGTTTGAAACCACCAAAAAGTTTTAGACTGAATAAGGAGCAGACTGTACTCTGTTTTCCAGACTTTGGGAAAAATGAATAAATGTTTTGTCGGGTTGTTCCTCTAAACTAACATATATTTTAGTACGTTCAACTGTTTGTAAACATTTTAGGGTATAACATGGATATTCTAATCCAAATTTACCGTCCTTATTATGGCTTAGCGGCTTTATGGTGCTTAGTTAAAATAATTTTATGACGAATAAATTGAAATCGTGAAAGTAAATCGAATTTGGATATCGTTATGCGTATTTTTGTTATCACTGCATTCTGGGAAGTTTTTTTATTTGATAGTATAATTTCCAAGATTCGTTGCCATATCTATCGCAAGGTATGATGTACCTAACAGACTTCAGAAACAAAAGATAAGCGAATAATATTGAATGAAAATATCCTGAAGTAAACCCTTTCAATGGTTAAGTTTCACTTAGGGTTCGGTAGTAAAGTTGAAGTTTTAAAAGTTATCGGCTATGTTTCTTGTTTTGAAGAGGTTAGCAGAATATTCATGTAGGTGCTTTAGGAGATTTTTGATGGTGAAAAAATGACGTATTCACTTGCCGAATCAATATTCCAAGCCTACGCCGTATTGGCTTCGTAAACTTAGTCAAAATGTCAAACTGAGTGTGTATTAACTTCTTTTATAAATGTGAGATGAATAGTCTTACGGCATGTGATTAAATTTAGAATCGCAAACGTAAGTCGATTACAAACTTAAGAAAATATACCCATTTATTCATGAATAAGAACAAGACATATATCAGCGAAGAAATATTTCTTTTCAACGACTTCATTTTCAAGCTGTACTGTCGTATTTACACACGGTAAAATGACAGATAATTGCAGTAAGAAGTTGCTCAATCTGCAAAATATATAATCAGTGTTGGTGGTGGAATTTGTTCAAGTGGAAGAAATAGAAAATGGGTTAGAGAAAAAGAAACGAATTGATAACAAGTGGTAAGATAAGAGACACATGCTGTCAAAGAATTGTTAACTGGTAATGATTAAACTGAAACAAGCAAAATAATAAGTGAATGAATAGGGAACGGATTGATATGAAACGGTGAAATATGGGTTCGAATGTTGTCATTGAAGTGAAAATTGGCAAAGCTCGAAAACGGGCCACTTAAAGAAATAGTCTTGAGACTTCGTTTGTACAAAAGGTATATTGAGGACACTTCTTGTTTGCAACAAAACATGTTCAGTGGACGAGCTGCTAAAACGTTTCAATGATTGTCACGTGACCGTTAAATTCACTGTAGAGGAAGAGGCAAAGCTAATGTTCCACTTTCTAGACGCAATGTTAAAGAGAATGATGGCTCGATTCAAGGTCAGTCTGTCGAAAACCAACATGTGCCGGCCAGTTCACTAACGTTAATATTTGGGTACCTCTCAGCTGTAAAAGAAATCTCATTCACTAACTGTATTCCAGAACCTATAGCATATGTTCTGAAAATAAGGTAGATGCTGAAATCGAAAATGTTAAGATAATACTATCTAATAACGTATATACCCTAAAAGATTTATTGGTAAGAATCTGAAGAAACGAACTACTCCCCATTCCATTGCAGTCATTAAGAAAATCTTAACCATGAATCTATAATTCAATGGAGACACCTCAGCCGAAATGCTGAAAAACCGTCTGTCAACGTGTTTAATGCTGCTAGACAGAGTGATATTCTGCAGCCGCCGTCTGATTCTACAGTTCATTAAGGATTGGTTACCACTAATGTCCACATCTATGTGTATCTAAAAATTCACATGCTTTTGTGGAGCTGACTGTATTAGACGTTGTGAGTGGGCCCTCTAAAAACGTGTTACAGAATATTATCCAGTTTGCTCTACCGAGGGAAAGTGAAGGAAAACGAATTCATCCATACGTGAACATCTGTTAAAGTCAAGTCATTCAGCATTTCGAGATTTATCCCTTAAAGTAATTGACAAAGTTAAACTGAACTTCTCAAAGGCTTCACTTTTCCAACACTTATGCGTAGCTAAAGCATTAGCTATACATGTTAAAAATACCCGAAACATTGCATTCGAAAGAGTTTTTTGAAACCACTTTCTCTACCTTGGATTTAAAAATTCATTCTGGTTATTTTATCAATTTCATTTCACTTCATTTCAGTATACCTCTTTTTCATTATCATCATTATCACCAATTTTCACTTCAATGACAACATTCGAACCCATATTTCACCGTTTCATATCAATCCGTTCCCTATTCATTCACTTATTATTTTGCTTGTTTCAGTTTAATCATTACCAGTTAACAATTCTTTGACAGCATGTGTCTCTTATCTTACCACTTGTTATCAATTCGTTTCTTTTTCTCTAACCCATTTTCTATTTCTTCCACTTGAACAAATTCCACCACCAACACTGATTATATATTTTGCAGATTGAGCAACTTCTTACTGCAATTATCTGTCATTTTACCGTGTGTAAATACGACAGTACAGCTTGAAAATGAAGTCGTTGAAAAGAAATATTTCTTCGCTGATATATGTCTTGTTCTTATCCATGAATTATAAATATATCTGCTACATACGTTATTCAGTGAAAAACTGTAAAATACTGTGAATGATTTATATTAGTGAAATCCCGAGGTAGTAAAATAAATTTCTGACGTTTTGCAACTTCATGAAATTCGCTTACTTAGAGAGTAAGGCCCATACAAGTTACCAAATGTTTAAATGTTAGATGGTGACACCGTTTTGTGTAAAATTTTACGCCAGACCTCAAATACATGAGGTGGACGTTCCCCTGGGATCAAGTGTGGACTTCACCATCATTATTATTATTCACTGAAACTATGTTAGTATGATATTACTTCGAGAGCAAATTTATAGGTAATAAGATAGGAGAAGTTGAAATTATGTCAGGTGTTGATGTAATTTCCCTTTTTACAAGTATTCCTATACATGATACACTTAACATCGTAAAATGTTTACTTGGTAACGACCAAGTATTGTTAAGTGGATGTCCATTGTCAACAAATATATTACAATATCCTTAAGACTGTGTTTAGAATCAACATATTTTACATTTTGGGATTAGTTACACCGTCAAACAACTGGCAATGCCATGGGCTCACGGGTATCTCCAAGTGTAGCCGGTTTCTATATAAAGACATTCGAAGAAACAGCTTTAAATAATTTCCACTGTCAACCTGAACTTTGGCATAGGTATGTAGATGATACCTTTGCCATTATTTAAAAAGAAATTGAAACATGAAATTTTTTACAGCATTTGAACTCGATGTCCAGTTTCATAAAATTCACGAATGAAACCATATCGAGTGCAGGAACTCTGGATTCCCTAGAATGTCTTGTCCAGAGAACATCTGAATGAGAGTTTAAAGTCAGGATTTACTGAAAACCTGCTCAGTCTGACAAATATGTAAAATTTTAAACTGATCAATCATCCAATGAACAAGAAAATCAGAGTAGCTTTGAATCTATTAATTAGGGCTTAAAAAATCGTAACGGATCTGGAGCATATAGAAAATGAAGTTTCTCAGGTAAAGCAGATGCTAGTAGAAAATGATTGCCCAGTCTTTTTTGAACAATATGGTCAAGAAGAGTAAGGGGAAACGAGCAGTTAAGAGAACTAAGACTGAAAAGAAGTTATAAACATCAACAGTGAAGATTCTATGCAGAAAACGTACTTTAGAACAGATACAAAGAGTTTGTTCTAGACATGGTATTAGAGTCTATTTCAAAATCTTTGGCGAAAGCCTTAGTCAAAGCCAAAGATAAAATTCCAAAGATTACAAAAAACAACTGTCTCTATAAGATAAAATATATGGATTGTGAGGCAAATTATATTGATGAAAGATGTAGACAGCTGAAAATTAAAGTGAGTGAACAAAGGTTATGCAACAAACACTCACGAAAGAATGAAGCGGGATTGAAACATTTAGAACAGAGGTTATCAATAGGAATGTATGCTGTTGGAAGTTGGCACAAGATTGTTTTTGACAGTGTTGACATATTAGGGTAGAGTTTCAGTTCACATAAAGAAAGATTGACCTCAGAAGCTCTGCATATTTTAGCATCAGCAAATGCTTTAAACAACAGAAAAAAAGTAATAAATTTGTCACCAATCTGGGGGACACTAATTTGACGAAAACATTCAAAAGGTTATCATTTCAAATTGATGGTTTAAAAAACAAACAAACAATATCGATCATGAATAAACATGCTTTTTATACTTTCATATAATAAACAACGAACGATACATACATTACCTATAACGTTTTCATACACTTTGATCATTGAATTGTTTTTGATGATAAATGACAGCGACCGCATTAATTTATGATAACAAGTTTGAAATAATCATTCTGAACAACAAATCAGCTAACCAATGGAGTAAAGACAAAAACTCCTACATGTATCATTTCATACATCGACATCTCATGAAAATTCAAGTATTCTACTGAAGAAGCCATGACACACAGCGAAATGTTGAGAAAAACTTTGTTTTGATTTTATAAACACGCTAGGATATATGTTGATGCTTGCATTATCCCGTCGTTGAGGGGACCGAAGTGATCGGTCTCTATTGGCATATGGGCTGCTGCTCGGATCCCTCGATTTTACGTGTTTCAATTACATATAAGTGATTGATAGTGACTAGTAGTGGAATTCAGGACGTGCGTTGTGTTCTACCTGGGACTTATCAGCTGGATGCACCTGCCTCCCGGTGAGTGATGTCGTTCCCGTTGGGATTAGAACTCAGGACCATTTGCTTTGAACGTCAAAGCGTTATCCACCAGACCATCTATCTACGACGACGACCTCTTGTGCTACAGGTATATATTTTAATACTTTACTCGTTGCACGATAATTCGTTACGCTACGTCGTTCGTCTAGCGGATATCGCTCTTGCGTTTGAAGCCATCTTTGCCGATTTCGAGTCCCATTTTTACAACGTCGCTTTCTGTTAGTAGGATTCATTTAGCTGACGAGTCCCAAATAAGACAAGATGCGCATCCTAGATTTAACTGCTATCCTTTTATTTACCCTTAATACGCCCGGACTTAATTGAATCTTATTTATATTATGATGTATCCGGACTCGACGCTCAACTTGTTTCAGGATATTTGCAAGAACTACGGCGTCGCTTTTTATGATTGTGCGAAAAGCTTTACATAAGGGAAGTTAACTGATGACTGATGTGATAGAGGGTGAAACGGCAATAACGACAGGGGTGTAAATATTTAGTCAACCACTGTTCTTTTTCTTTGCATTTGATTTAGTGTAGATAATGGTAGAGTAAAGCTATTAAAGTTGGTTATCCTTTGATGACCAATCAACGTGTCTAATCCACTCCTACAGGGAGTCAGTCACGGTCCGAATAGCTCAGCGGTAACATGCCTGACTACAACAGATGGTGGTGCCAGTCCCAATTTCAGGCTGGATATCAACTGCGTTGGGGTTGGAGGTACGCCTTATTGATGGGTGCCAACAAGCAAGAAACTTAGGTCTAGGGTTTCCTGTTGATGTCATCCTTTCAACTAATATCAACCTTTTTACAAACACAAGTGAAATTGTAGAGAATACCTCGTTTTCATGCTCAAAACGTCACTTGTATGACTCTTATGCATCGGTCAGAAAATAAATTGATAAACAATTTTAAACGTCTCAAATTTTCCCTAATTCTTTTTTTAACCTTCAAATATACTTGCAGACAATTTGATTATTTACTTGCTTCATCTTGTCGGATAAGATTAAAATGTACTCTAGTCATGTTTGTTTGTATCTTTCATTCATCCAGTGGGTTAAGCGAAGTACAGTAGTATGAGTAAAGATAGTGCTTCATGCGGCAACAAATCGACTATAGAATATAGGAGATTATAAATAAGAAATACGAAAGAGCCCAATGAATAAATAAATATTGATTTATTTCACCTTGACTGTATTTCTGTCATCACCAATTTTAGTCATCAATTTTGTGAATATAAGCCTGATCCCATTTTATTTGATTTACATAATTTCCATTGCCTTGATAACGTTGTTAAACTTGAAGGACATCTTTTATTTCATTTGCCGGCTTATACACACAGATATACCCATATATGTACGTTAGCTCCAGATGACTTACAGAGTACTTTACGCATTCATATTGTAATCTGCACTAATCAAATAACCGTCTTGTCTTAACTCCAAATTTCGTTTTATTCTAACTTTTTTAAATATTTTTCTGTCATCTAGAAATGCATTCCACATTTTGCGATATATTTATTACCTTAGAGCCTTAAGAGGTTTCGAAAGCTTCAGTTAACGCAAACAATGTGTTTTGATGTTCACTAGTGAATATCTATTTGTTTAGGAGATTTTCATATATAAAACAAAATCATTTTAGCATCATGATAATTTTATTGCTTGTGGATAGTAGAAGAATTCAGGATGCGCATCTCCTTTTATTTGGGACTTGTCAGATGGATGTACCTGCACTCCAGTGTGGAGTGATGTTATTCCCACTGAGACTGAAACCTCGTACCCATCGCTTCAAACGCCAAGGCGTTATCCACTAGGCCACTGAGGCACGATAGCCGCTTCGTGTACAATGGGTATTAGTTATTACCGTTTATTGATATACTTATTGTTCTACGTTGTTATGCTGGATTGAGTTGTTTGACCTATTTTGGTTTATGGGCTCCTTAGTGGATGGCTCGATATAGCCTGATTGTTAATTATGATAATCTGATTGGATTTTTCTGTCAGTCGCAAGCAAGGTCGGACAGTTCGATGCACTAAAACAACGGAGAATAACAAGTATATTACTAAATAGTGATAATTTTAGTATTGGTTATTAACTGGGCTTGAAATTTCTTCTCTGTATTTGAGTTTTAGCTTGGCAAATATTTTTAGATGTTAAATGCTTTTGAGTGCTTAGCAACGAATGAGACATTCGAAAAAAGCTGCGAACCTTGAGCAATTTTTTTGATTCATTAACTTCAAATTATGAACGTTTTGCCTAATCTAATGCACTTACACTATATATCTCTTATCAAATCTTTTTTTAGATTGGTGGACATACATCAGCTGATATGGCGGCTTTATTATCCACAGCTGAACAAGTGCAACTCAAAGGTACTTTACCACCCAAATTATTAGTATCATGTCAATTGAATATCTGTTGAATGCGGATGAATACATATTCACTACACTCTTCTCCCCATAAACAATATAATGATTCTGAAGTGTGAATGGTAAGAATAAGAGGTAGAAGCGGGAGAAAAAAAAGATATCGTCTAATATATGAGTTCTGAAGAAATCCATGTGATTTGTATCACAGATCAGTTACTAATTGCTTAGATCACCCGCTCGTAATTATTTTATAATTTCGTAGAAAATCGCGTTTTCTTTAGAATATTATAGTCCTCAAAAAACGCATCTGCAGCTTTTAGTTACAAGAATGGGTATATCATTGTAAGCATTCTCGCAACAACAACAAGCAACAATCACTATCAACGTGACAAATCTAAAGCAAGTTGTCTCTCCCACACACCTATCAGTCAGTATCGATTCAACTGCAGGTAGCAAAGACATAGATAAGCATGTCAATGCCAGGATCCAGCAGACACCAAGAAAGGCATTCCTTCATCAATCTGAAATCAGTGTGCAGATCTAATACGCTCAATATTAGTAAAGAAAAATATACGGATTCTCAACACTAATACTGTTGTCAAGTGAGTGCTTCTATGTGATGGTTGAGAGAGTTGATGCGTTACGAAAAGCATTCCCAACACACTGCACACACATCATCAAGAGCTGCCACCTACACTCACTCGATACTGAAGACCAGATGAGATGGCGAGAAAGAATGAGCAAGAAGGAAGTGTGGCTGGATGGCGATGAACTAACCGAGGAGCTGTCGCCCAACAAGTAAGCAGAAGGAGGTGGAAATGGGTCAGGTATACAGTGATAAGACGGTTTGGGGACATCAGGCACCAGTCGGGGTCAGGCCAGGCCAGTCCAGGATGTGGCGTGGAGTGGAGTAGGATGCGAAATGGGAAAGTACGAGTTGGGTGTCTGAGACTATGGTGATATGGAGGAGATGGTGTGAGGAAGCAATGAAAGCTTGTGGTCAGGAATGGAGTCATGTTGGAGAGACTGGAGAGAATAGAGTGAAATGGTGACGTGTTACTGAGGCCCTACATTCCACTAGGAACCCAAGTGACAACTAATAATAATAATAATCAGTATTCTGGGGTAGCACTTAAAGATAACATTCAGGATCACGATATTTGGATTTCAGAGAAAGGAAACCCACCGCTGTCTTTTTAACAATGGATACGATTCACTACTCACCTGTTGAGAACACAGAGGATATAAAAATGCCATTTTGTAGACTGATCTACCCATTGTTTATTGAAAATAAAGTTTAACTCACTGCTCACATGAATAAAAGTTAGTCACGAATCTCAGAGTATAATGATGCATAAAGGAACAGTTTAAACTTAATGACTTTTCAACAAAAGGAAATTTTTTCTTGTTAAGTAAATTCTTATTTGATCAGGCTGGCTAGCAGATAATAAAACTGAGAATATAACTAGTTATTGATGCGTTCGTGTTTCTCTGTTGTTATACTGGATCGAATTTTTCGACCTCTGTTACCAAATGGGCTTCTATGTGGACGCTTTGATATAGCCTGAATACTAATTATGATAATTTACTTGGTTGTGGCTAGCGGAGGAATTCAGAATGCCCGTCTCTTCTTATTTGGAACTCGTCAGATGGATGTACCTGCACCTTAGTGCGGAGTGATTTGTTCCCACATACTGGAACCTCGTGCCCTTTACTTCAAGCACCAAAGCGTTATCCACTAGGCCACGGAAGCACGCTAGCCGCCTTTTGTACAATGTGTTTTAGTTATTCGGGCTATATCGAGTCATTAGCAAAGGAGCCCATATGCCAACAGAGGTGGAACAATTCGATACAGTAAAACAAGGAAGAAAAAGAAACGCATCAATAAACAGTGTTCACTAACACCCGTTCTACAAGAGGTGGTTATCGTATCTTAGTTGCCTACTGAATAACGCCTTGGCATTTAAAGTGATGGGTGAGAAGTTCGAGTCTCAGTGGGAACGACGTCACTCCGCACTGGAGTGCAGGTAGATCCATCTGACAACTTTCAAATAAGACGAGACGCACATCCTGAATTCCTCTGCCAGCCCCAACTAAGTGAATTATCGAAACTTAAGGTAACTGTAGGACTGCCTAAACCATGATTTCTTGGCTAGTTTACATCAATTTTGTACTGATTTACAGACATCAGGTAAACATTTTGTAAAGTAATTACTATTTATTTCAGATGAAAATATTGTCTTGTAATGAGAAGGCATTACTGTGATCCTACTGTGTTGGTGTCAAGCAATAATCAGCATTCATGTTTTCTGCATCATTTCTCTTTTTTCAATTTTCATTTTCTCCATCACGCTTAACTTAGTTATCATGATAACCTTTCAAAAAAAATGACTGGTTGGACTTCTACTTATCGTCTTAATGTTTCTATGCAACTGGTGTATAACTGAGGTAAAAATTCAGTTTACTCTTCATTAATCAAATAAAAATCAACCCTGTTAGAGACTGGAAAAGGAGTATCCTCAGATATAAAATATGATTACACTGTTTCACAAAAGTTAAAGATATGATCGGTAATATTCTCTGTTAATCGTAACATATTTTAAGCCATGTTTGTAGAAACGCCTAAACAATCATCTCTCACCTGTCAGTCAATTCAAACAACGAATCTGTAAATTGAATGCTTTACAACGTTAAGGCATTAATTTTCATACTTACTACCTACCTAATTGTGTTTATAGTGTTGTGAATGATTTTATCAGTAATGAAATCAGTGCCAGTAAATTTAAGATTTTTGAGTAATTTCTTAGTGCGAATAGGGTATTTTTTTGATGGAATTTTGTAAAATGCATTTAGTATATTCGTTGGTTCGAATCCGGCCACAGTGGAAATTTTCATCTCACCTTGAGTCATTACCCAGTATAAATACTAATCTGCCAGACTATGGCTATCTTGGATTGTCAAATGATATTTGCGTACTGTCAAACTCCTCAGTTGTTGAACATGTAAAAAAAGATTAAAATGGTAGAATTATTGAGAAAAATCTTTGAAACTATTCAGGCGATTAATTCTTATTAACTAATTTAGTTAGTTTGGTAACTAAATGGGATCCATGTATGTAAATACATGTAGGTCAGTCTTTCTAAAACTGTATTCTGCAGAATAATAGAAGTTCGCATTTATAGTTATTCTTTGAATGTTAGACAACAATTTTTGGTAAGATTTTCAGATTTCTGGTTATTAAGTGAAAGCTTAACTGACTTCTGAAATTTTGGCTCTTTTGTTTATATTAATTACTAAGAGATGAGGTTTCGGTTATAAGACATTCAGGTGAATAAGACCATTAGTATGTGAGGAAGAATGTCAGTTGATTGTCTTCTGCTTTAGATCTTAATGAATGAGCATTTTTAGTACGATATGAAAAATAGTTTCTGGAAGGTAACTAGTTTTCATTTCAGCAACCTGGGCACTGGGATATGTCACTAAATAATACATTCAACCATAAATAATACTGGTTTAATATTTTTTAACTTTTAAATTAGTTTTATGCTAGGTGCTTCTTTCAATGTAAATTATTTTACAAAGTAATATTTTAGAGCATTTCATATAAATTTATTAGGCAAGCCTTAAAGCAGTTCTAAAAAACTATGAGACGTTAACAAGGTGATGATTGGTATTATTTTGGCTTCTTTAACAGGACAATTGAAGAGATTGAATGGACTAATACTGGATGCTATTGTACCATCGATGCTTCAGTATATGACATATCAAGGTTCTTTGCCTTTTCCGGCTTGTTATGAAACGGCAACATGGATTGTACTCAACCAACCTATTGTAATCACCGAAACACAGGTATGTTAACATAAACAAATGCAAAGTACTTGATTTGAGTCCATTTGTGATACGTTTTGTATTAATACCGTGTAATGGTTACCAGTAGAATCCAACACACGTGTTTCATCCTATGTAGGGCAAGTCAGCTGAATGTACTTGCTTTCTATCGGGTTAGACTTTTCTCATTTGGGCTAGAACCCAGACGCGATCAGTTCAAATACTAGCACATTATCCACAAGGCCAGCGAGTCACGATTACGACTTCTTGTGCAATGGACATAGTTTATACTATGTTGATTGCATTGCCTCGTCGTTGACTGGACCGAATTGATCAGTCTCTGTTCCATTTTATGCACTGCTTGCCACTATCCACCACTTAGAATGAGTGACCAAGTAATACTCCTCGCTTCTGAATTATTAATTTAAACTGGTTTTGAGCATAACACATGAAATATCTGAGACGAACGGCATATAAAAGATCCGTAAATATTTTAAGGTCGATCTTTTGTTTAGGGAATGCTGATGAAAACAAAGAAAGTAAAGTCAGTTATCCAGTTAAATTATCTTCGTTTTCGAATACAATACATACTTATTACTTGTCTACTAAAGTCGGACATGAGCTAATCAACATTTCCATGCTCTTCATTCTCCAAATTTGTGAGATTTATCCTGTAAGCAAAACTGCCCGTGAATTGCTAAAAAGGTATTTTTTCTCACTCATCTTGCTCATTTTACCTAAAGTTCACTAGATTCATCAGTAGTTTACGCCTATTTGTATCTAGTCTCTATATTATTCATGCGAATACAAACGTGGTACAGCAATAGCACCGAGAAATGATCCACACAAAATAATATTATAGCGTTACAAATACTTATATCAAAGGGTAGTGGGTAAAAATGAAGCACAATAAGAATAGAATGATTGGAAGGGGAGTCCAGTGAGGTAAATTTGAGACGAAACTTTCATTTCTTTTCAGTAGCAAAAGATAGGGGGAAGCTACAGCATGATCACCACTGGTTTCGATTCTGAGCCATATCTGATAACGTCTAAAGCCATTGAGTTGTATGATCTGTCGGACCCCACCCACAGAGTCGTGATGAACCAGCAGATGCGAACCCAATACAACTACCCTGCATCTCACAGCGCCGTATCATACACTGATTACTACTCCGCTTCCTTCATCCAGCCCTAGGGTAGGAAAACAACGAACGATTTCCAGGCCACCGAGGCCGGTGTTTCCAGATGACTTTACTTATTGAATAACCACCTCCGTCATGCCCAAACAAACGCTGTCGTACCTCAGAATTACTGACATGGTGTTGTCACCAGATACGAGCAATCCTACAAAGAAGACGATAATAGAACACATAGAGTTGTCACGTGTCCCCAGCTCGGAGAGGCCAGATTTCACTGGCGTAGATTAGAACTGCTGGCACCGAAGTGTTGTAAACCCGGCCTTTCACGATCAGACCATCGTCGTACCAGCACCAAAGGTATCCCAGATTAACGTATGTCACTATGGCTTTCGATATGCGGTTGGAAATTTCACCACTCACGCCTCCATCAGCAATCACACAACTACTCAGATCTACGAACGTTTCCACTACTTCCAACAGCTCACTACCAAGGGTGAGAGCAGGTACAGGCTTCTGCCAATCCTGGAAGAGTACGTTGAATTTTAGTGGTGCAAAGCACATATCATATTTACGGACACCATCCAGTCTCGGTTACTGGTCTGTCGTGTTTATTCTTGTTAGCACTGTGTAGAAAATGGTTTTCGTTAATAGTAAACTTACAGTTCAAGTCTTAGTGGGAACCATGTCACTCAGTAGGAGGCAGTTGAATTTCACTGTTAGCCATTATCCACTAGTACTGTAAAGATACACTCCTAAATATGGAACTAATGAACTTCATATGTTCTGATAATTTTATTGTGTATTAATATGTGCGTATGTCTAAATGTGAACGTCTAAGGGCATTTGTTCTTTGCATTTTCAGTGAAAGAAAACATCTACGATATTCACTAGTAGTACAGGCATTTCTATGTATTGGACAAAAAATACTCAGCCACTTCGCAGTTAACAAATTACTAGTATACATTTCGAAAATATCGCCTTAGGGGTTAAGCGTAATCTCTTCAACAAACGCTTAAGTTAACCTTCTAACTGCATCGAAAAATACAATGACCAGTATTTTTCAAATTTTTATTTTTTAACAGCGTATACATACATAAGTGAATAGAACTGTCCCTTTATTCAACGCATACAAGATCAGTGTCTATTACTGCTCTTAAGTGAGAATAACTAGGCGAGTTTAATACAGATGTTGTAGAATCAAGTTGAACTTAGATGCCACTGCTTAGACTGATGAAAGTTAGCCTTACAACAACATATTACTTGCTATCCGAAAGCAAGAATAAATAGTGTGGGATATACATGCTTAAGCCCAGACAATGCATAAAGTTATATCTTGCAATCAGACTTCATGCCATTTGTATCTCCTATTTTCCATTGTGAATCAATGTTTTCAACTATTAAGGATATAATGATTTCCGTTCACGAAGAATTTTTTTATGTGCAGATGAAAGTAAACACCGATAATTTAGTAGCAACTTGACTCAAAAAGCCAAATATGCTATGGTAAAACCCATCGTAGAAAAGCCTATTGAGTCAGTATTTCTGTGATGTATATGAAGTCAGTTAGTGAAAAACTTTAAACGTATCTGTGTTGACTGGTCAGCCAGGTATATATGCAAAAGATGAAGAAAACCATATGTTTTGAAAATTCAGATTTGTTTCAAACACTGTTCCAACATACAAATGCTTTTAGAAAGCGATTCTAGCTACAACAAACTCTGTGATTGCTTTCACCATAAATTTCTCAACCACCAGTATGCAACAGAGTCGACATATTAGGATTGACCGACAAACTTTTAAAAACATTCAAGTGATCGCCATCTGACTAAACTTTCTAAACAGGACGATTCTATAATGTGATTATTTTGAGAATATGATTATTTGATTTACGTATCATATATTTTAATCTCTTCCTTTCAGTTGAAATCACTTCGCCAACTTAGAATTGCATCATTCCAAGGATCTGGAAGCATGGCTGACAATTATCGGACTGTTCAGAAGCTGAATAATCGTTCAGTACGAACAAACATAGACTTCTCAAAAGCCGTAAGTTATCGCACTTCCACTTTTGAATGATGAAAAAAAATTGGAACTCAGCTGGAAATCAAAAAAACACTTGTGTGAATATGCTATTTATTTATAAGATATATTACTTAATGATGTATACCAAGTATTCTAGTTTGACAAGGAACTGAGCCAGAGGTGATAAAGAGATTTCTGAATGGTGGATTATTTGTAATCTCAATGAATTAACCATTCTCACGAACTCATTGGCTGTACAGTCTTGTACTATAAACTGCACTTGTTTTAAGGAGCCTCATTAACCTAAAGCATGGTGAAGGAAACTTAGTTACCAAAGAGGAGAAACAAAGAAAACTATGGGCTGACAACTTCAAGAAACTCTTGAGTCGACCACCACCAAGAAAACTACCTGCAACTCGTCCAGCAATACCATCAATAGCCCAGCCACACAACTATCAGTGAACGCAAGTCCTCCAACAAAAGCAGAAGTCCTGAACGACATAAACTTACTGAAAGCCAAAAAATCAGCAGGACCAGATGTAATTCCACCAAAAGCAGGGAAAGCAGACGCAGAGCGATCAGAAATGGACATGCTTACACCATTATTGCGGAAGATATGCAGCGAAGCAGGGAAGGAAAGATACCTGCTAACTAAAAGAAGGGTCACCCTGTCAAACTCCCAAAAAAGGAGATCTAAGACTGAAAGAACTGGTGAGGAATAACGCTCATAACCATCCCAAGCTAAATATTAAGCTGTATCATCCTGAAGGGACTAGACAATGCATTGCATTCAAAATTATGAACGGAAAAAGATGTCAGGAAGAATAATTCAAGTGTGGATCAAACTGCACACTACGCATCATCATAGAACACAACATACAATGACAGTCAACTGCATCCTTACATCAACTTCATCGACTTTGAAAAGGCCTACGATAATGTCAACCGAGATGCAATTTGGCAGCTGATTCAATACTTCGGTTTCAGCACCACGAAACTGTATCAACCTCATCTAACAGCTATACGCTATATGATGCTACATGTCAAGCGATTCACAATGGAAAGCTCAGTGATGCCAATGAAGCGAAGTGAAGACAAGAGTAAGACGAGAAGTGGGTTGCCGCCTACTATCACCGAAGATCTTCATGATTGTGGTCGACTGGAGTGGAATGGATACTGCAACAAACTGTGAGGAGCTGTGAGAAGATGAGGATACGCTGTTCGACCGATGAGAAGACCCCAGAAAATTTCGATTTCACTCATGATCATTTATGTCTGACGTCGTACAAGCTCGAAGATGTACGGGCGGAAACTGACGAGTTGACAGAAGAGATGAGGTAGCAAGAAAGGCACTTCCTTCGGGCGGACGTGCAGAAGACAGAGGTGATGGAGATACCCAACCACCAATAACAGTAACAAGCACCAACCAGCATTAACGAGAGAAATCTGAAGCAAGTTGTCTCTCCCACACACCTATCAGTCAGTATCGATTCAACTGCAGGTAGCAAAGACATAGATAAGCATGTCAATGCCAGGATCCAGCAGACACCAAGAAAGGCATTCCTTCATCAATCTGAAATCAGTGTGCAGATCTAATACGCTCAATATTAGTAAAGAAAAATATACGGATTCTCAACACTAATACTGTTGTCAAGTGAGTGCTTCTATGTGATGGTTGAGAGAGTTGATGCGTTACGAAAAGCATTCCCAACACACTGCACACACATCATCAAGAGCTGCCACCTACACTCACTCGATACTGAAGACCAGATGAGATGGCGAGAAAGAATGAGCAAGAAGGAAGTGTGGCTGGATGGCGATGAACTAACCGAGGAGCTGTCGCCCAACAAGTAAGCAGAAGGAGGTGGAAATGGGTCAGGTATACAGTGATAAGACGGTTTGGGGACATCAGGCGCCAGTCGGGTCAGGCCAGGTCAGGCCATACCAGGCCAGTCCAGGATGTGGCTTGGAGTGGAGTAGGATGCGAAATGGGAAAGTACGAGTTGGGTGTCTGAGACTGTGGTGATATGGAGGAGATGGTGTGAGGAAGCAATGAAAGCTTGTGGTCAGGAATGGAGTCATGTTGGAGAGACTGGAGAGAATAGAGTGAAATGGTGACGTGTTACTGAGGCCCTACATTCCACTAGGAACTCGAGAGACAATTAGTAACACATAATGAATAATCGCTTCATGATTGAAAAGTACTCAGAGCATCAATTTTCATAACATCAAAATGATAGGAACATTCGGGTTTACTTCAGTTGGCTTTTCGATGATTCTGATGCAGCAAGAAAATTCATTTTCATGAAGATTTTTTACTTAGAAGGAAAGCTTAGTGGTAAAGTATTCAGGACGCATTCCTCAGAAATATTTGGTAAGGAATAATAACAGAGTGACTGAAATCTAACTGTGAAGTTGGAATATCATTAAATTTCTTCAGAGTTGAATGAAATGTTAAACATTTTTGTAAACAGATTGAATTGTATATGAAATGAAGTTATGATTTGAAATATAGATGAAGTAGGAATATAAATGTCACTTTCTTAGCTGATGATGGATATCAAAATTTGATTAGGTTTTCGAAAATTAGTCAATGGTCTTTCGGGGTCGTATGCTGAAATTTTTCTTACCATCTAACCCTCACATGCAACTAGAGCTTTATCGAATTCCATGTTCTGACTGCGAGGTCAAGTGCATACGTCAAACTAGCCGGTGGGGGTCATTAGAATAATAGGAATATAGAATGACAGACGTCGATAAAATCAGTAATGTAGAAGAACGTTTGGCTGTTGCAATGCATGCTTTAACACAAGTTCACACAGTGGAGTGAGATAAATCCACTGTACTTAAGTCGAATATAACGAGGTGAAGAAAGAGAGATTGATTACTGAATCTTTGTTTATCGAATCAATCAGCACCCAATACATGTAACAGACATGATACCACACCTATATCAGAACTATGGGAAACTTTACTGCCAATAGAAATAAAGAATATCATGTGACAGGACTACAAAATCAGATGTTGAAAGTGGTGTGATTACAATGATATTAGCGTTAATAATTTATGCTCGAAACGTCATAAAGTAAATAATACTATATCACTGCCTGTTGGCTATATCAGATAAACAAATCTAATATGGGATTAAATTCTACCACAGCGCCTAAATTTTACACTTATATTTATGAGTAGTAATCTTTTAAACTGCCATTTGTGATAAAATCAGCCGGTCATTCAGAAACCTATAATTTAACATATGATAAGATTTTATTTATAATTAACTATTTTCCAAAAGCATTTGAAAGTGAAGAAGAAATGTGAGATTGAAACTGAATAATTCAGTCAAAGGGTTTTTGGGAATTTAATAATTTTTCAGGTTGGTTTCCATCATGCAGTGACATTGGTTGGAGGGACATTAGAAGCCTGCAAGCACTAGACAGCTAGTTCGTCCCACTACGGTACTCATCAACAGTGCTCACCATGACCGCTTTAGGGATCGTATTGATAGAAGTTGGAAATATGGAACATTGGATTTCGACCTATTGGGTCATTGGTAACGTGTTGGCTACGAAACATGGAGGTCCTGAGTCCAATCCCTAGCAGTTTGGAGTCATGGGTGCGGACTGCTGAAGAGTCCCATACTGGGGCGAAACAAATGTACAGTACTCCCAGGTTTTCAATGTTCCTCCAACTGGTCAGTCTATGATTAAAACCAACCTTAAATAGATTACTTAAAGTTTTAGTATAAAATACGTTTCTTAGTAGATTGAAGTATACAGTGGTTAGCGCGATAAGTCAGCAGTCAGTGAGATTGTTAAATAAAATGTATTAGGAATTAAAATCATTAGATAGGAGACAGTAATTCATGAATTAGCACCTGAATATTTCTACAGTGCAAACAAACCCAATAAAGAAAACGTGGCACCAAATTATTTTTTATAAGACATTTAATTGAACATAGAATCTTCTTTAGTGTTATTACTTGTATTACCCCGTCGTTGATTAGACCGAATTGATCAGTCTGTGTTGGCATATGGGCTCGTATGCGGATGCCTCGATATTGCCTGTCTTTTAACTATGTTTAGTAATGATGGGCAGTGGCCAGCAATGGAATCCAGGATCGCTCTCGAGTCCGAGTCCCGGTGGGAGCAACATCACTCACTGGGAAGCAGGTACATCCAGTTGACGAGTCCCAAACAGGACGAAATGCGCATCCTGGATTCCACTGCTAGCCACTGCCCATCATTACTAAACATAGAATCTTCTTCTCAACAGCTTCTACCTTGGGTCTGACAGTTAAGTTTACATATAGTTTAATTTTTCGTTGACAAAATAAGATTTCCTCAAAACAATCTGTTTATGATATTATACTGTGTAGGAGTTATCTTCAAAAAATATGCTTGTATGAAAGGTAATTTCAAGGTCTAATATTACTGTAATTCTGTTCAAAATAATTAGTTACAAATATGATTATACGTCTTATGTGACACTTGAAAATGAGAATGGATCTTTTTTTACTTCAATGATGAAATTTATTTGAGTTGAACCTACGGTGAGTGTGGGGTGGAATGAAGTGTACTGATGTGATTGTTCAACTGGATAAACAACGATAGTCTGATTAAAACAATCGGTTACGTCGTACAAATTCATGAAGATCTGGAACAATTTAAGATTGCAAGAAAGCGGTGACAGAGTATATGCTAATTCTTGGTTCATATGTTTGTGTTGGTGTCTGTGAAGGCTGGTTGCGGTAAAACTTTGAGGAATACTAGTTTACTAAAATGATACATATGTAAGGGAACAAAAATTAACTGGTGAAAGACAATCTAGCGAATAAATTTTTTTTTTGACGAATCATTTTCAAAAGCTGTACTTTGGAATCATGCTTATAAAAAGGAATATGTATCCACTAATAGTTAGTGGATCATTACAAAGTCATAAAAAAACACCCAGTAAGGTCGCAGGATGATAACTGTCTCAAGGCCAACTCAAGGACATCAGAATATGCTCAAGGGATTATGGTAAGTAAGCAAAGAAATAAATGCATTTTCTTAGAGAGATTACTATTAATACAAAATTCAAGATTAAATGTAACTCTTTTGAACATAAAGATCAAGTTCGTATTTATCAGGAGATATTTACTATATGTAAGTTGAAAATTAGATAACATGGCGTAAGACCTATTGGTGTTTACTGATCCTGAATTACGCCAAGTTAGCCATAGTGGCAGCACTTATTCCTTCAAAAATCGAAACTCTGGTTGCGCGATCATAATTGCAACTGTTTCTGCAGTATGAAGGATTCGGAGCCTGGTGCTTTTGGGGGAGTCTCTTACGAACACGGAAAATAATGAAATATGACATATTTATATTTTCTGTATGGATTTTTAAATTTAAATGTACCTAACAGAAGCTGTCACAGGTCTTTATAACACCTTTGCGGAAACACTTTGTATTCACGAGCATAGAGAACTAAACACACATAGCAGTAGTCTACAAACAATTGTGAAACTTGAGGAGGTTATCGGAAGAATTCGTTTGCTCAAATATCTATTAAAATTGTAATGGAAATTTTCTAGGAGTCCAAACGATTTTTGATTTGCTTAAGTATTCTACCGCATAACTACCAGATATAAATATTTATGATGGTTCATTTGACAATTTTTTTCCTCTGAAGCAACCGTACTGTTCAGCGCAATCTGAAAGATCATATATTGGTAAGTTGAACATTCATCTAATTATTATCATGCCTTTCATCTTTTGAAAACTGTTTGAATGTTATCAGTTTTGTTGCTATTTATGGTCATGAATCTCTCCTGGTGAGGTCTTGAGTGTAGACTGATGATTCTTATATTAGGACAAAACACCTATTCAGTGCTCCCAGGTTTTTAGCTGTTCTTGAGATTATATCTGTCCATAATGAATTACACCATAAAACAGCTCAATATCATTGGTCATTCGTACGGCTTACGACCCTAATTTCTCTATTATTTATAGAAAGTGTGGTTCTTTTTTCTTACTACCGTAGTCTAAATCCTTGTACCTTGATAGTGTTAAATGCATGACTTTCACATGGTAGTTTAAAGTGTTTGTTTTTGTCTAATTTTATAGGTTTTACCAATGACCCAAATTATTTTACTCTCCTCATTTAGTTAAGATGTTTTCCATAAGCAATTCTATCATTATTTAGACTGTATTACACCCTTTTTCAGATGAATGAATGTAAGTAGTATATCCACTACAAATTATCAAAGTTTCGAGATCTCTGAGTGCTGGTAGTGGCGTCTGAAATGCATTACAAAGGTTGAACATTACAAATATATGATAGTATAGTTTGTGTAGGTCTGGAGTTTGACTCAGGTTGAGTAAGTACACGTCCGTAGTAGATTAAGAAAAAGATATAGACTTTTAAGTACATATGAACACTAAACAATGTGAGAATACACATGAATGTTTATAAATCTATTTCTACGAACATTGGTCAATGAAATGGATTTTAATATCAATAAAAAACTCCACTGATCGAAACTACAGTTTTAGTCAACACTTATCACTGCAATGATGAATATTTGATTATCTCTTCAAAAATATAGCTAACGGATAATAAGTAACTACGAAAGTATAGATAGAACTCACACTTAGCTAGTTCCTGTAAGGTATTGACACAGAACATATAGGAAGTGTTTAATTAAGGCAAAGAGTAATATATTGAAGCAAGAAGCCCTCAATTATTTACTAGAATTATTCTTTCTAGAAGAATGATTAACCTAACGTCGTTATATCTGTTCACTTTATTGCATGTATGAACGATAAATCTATTGTGAAAAACTTATAGGTATCATTGAGTACTGAAAAAAATTGTAAGAATATTTGAAAATTAAGTGCTTATATTTCGAAGAAGCTTGTATATGGATTCATACTACTACTGAACTACTTGGGTAGCTAGAAATCACTAAATCTGCAGTATTTCATCAATCAGATGAGTGATCTAGACACCAGACAGCTGTTTCGCTCGTTTGAGAACAAACCTGCTCATCGGTGTTGTACGCGGATAAACTCTTCTCATAGAGGTGAATTAGTTCAGATTAACTAAATCTACCTGTCTAGCTGACTTACATGGATTGGTGTACCTAAAATAGCATGGTCAATTTGAAAGTGATGTGCATATAGCAAAACATAGTAGTAGTGGTAGTAGTAGCCGTAATAGTAGTAGTATTAGGTTCATTTACTGCCTCATGATACTTCTGTATCAGAGACCACACGTTGTGATCTCGGCTAAGTGGTTTCCAGCGAAAATCTTGTTAATACTACATTCAGACAGTTAAGAAACTACTCAGCGGTGAGAAATACCAATGTAGACCATACAATTTGTAAATCATTTGCAAATTATTTACAAATAGTTATGTCTAGTAGTTTAACAGTATTCTTGTTCCGTATTAACATGTAGGTTTACTGCTCATTGAAGTAAATTTAAGCATAAAGATGTTTACTGAAAGAAGACGCTGGCTGTAGTTATATTTAAGAAAATTAAAATTGAATACTTACTATTCAGCAGCGAAAACTAATCAAGGAACTAAATAAAATAGAATAAAAAAATGTTCACTTTTTATGCATATTTGTTATCTATGGGTGACGAGTATATTTTTCAGAATAAATACGAATATTCATAACAGGGAAATGAAAGAAAAATTGAATTATCCTACGTAGTCTAACGGATAGAAAATATTTACTTTCCGTCTTTTTCCTGTTAATAATCGTGTTATGGATATTGTTATCATTCTCTTTTTTGCTTGTTTTGGTTGTGAAAATCACGGTGATGTTTCAATGAATAACAGCAATGTTACCCAGTGGACTTGGTCAACTCTAAAATGTTACAAAAATCAGCCTGAAATACACAGGAAAAAAAATATATATACATATATATTCACACATTCCGCATGCTTTCAGAAAATATAATATTTTTGATGTATATCACAAATTGACAATGAGATAATGTTCTTCGGTGTTGACTATCCTGTTTTTTTATTCACAGTAACAGAATCACAGAAAATCATAATTATTCACCTTCAATATAATAAAAATCTTTTTGGAAGTGTATTCACTCAAATATTTGAACATAGTTGCCTACCTCATTTTTATTAGGTAGTGTACAATAATTAATTACTATTTGTCAACAAAGCATAAATCAGCATATCTATTTGCAGATTTTACTACTTTTTCCAAAATTATTATGATCATTATCGGTGATGAAAAGTGAAATTTCAGTGTACAAAGGGAAAAGGAATATATGAAATCATGGAATATGGATTATAATATTCAGTCTTCATCTATGTACATAACTCTTATACAATGTATAGTGAGTTATCAAGTTAAAACTAAATATATACAAAATATTATTATGGAACATTTGATTATTTTGATATTGGAGTAAAATAATTTTGTCATGGAAAAGGAGACTATGATTTGTCATTCATTCAACTTGTCAAATGTCAAACAGAATCACTCACTACACTAATGATGTCACCAGTTTTACAAATAAAAAATATTTGATAAATAAAATTCCAGCCTCATAAATATTTCTCAAGGTTTGAAAAAGAAATGGTAACTTCAGATCGAGTTATACAGTAAGACTATATAGCACTTAGTTTGTGTGACTAACCTTACATAAAAAAGTATTAGAAGAAGTGTAGTTGATCTTATTGTCAACAAGGTTCAAACAGTTATTCAGACAAAGAAGATTACAATTGCTAGTCCCTTTGGGTCCTAATAGAATATGGGGCTTCAGTAACATGTCACCATTTCACTCTATTCTCTCCAGTCTCTCCAACATGACTCCATTCCTGCCCACAAGCTTCATTGCTTCCTCACACCATCTTCTCCATATCACCACAGTCTCAGACACCCAACTCGTACTTTCCCATTTCGCATCCTACTCCACTCCAAGCCACATCCTGGACTGGCCTGGTATGGCCTGACCTGGCCTGACCCCGACTGGCGCCTGATGTCCCCAAACCGTCTTATCACTGTATACCTGATCCATTTCCACCTCCTTCTGCTTACTTGTTGGGCGACAGCTCCTCGGTTAGTTCATCGCCATCCAGCCACACTTCCTTCTTGCTTATTCTTTCTCGCCATCTCATCTGGTCTTCAGTATCGAGTGAGTGTAGATGGCAGCTCTTGATGATGTGTGTGCAGTGTGTTGGGAATGCTTTTCGTAACGCACCAACTCTCTCAACCATCACATAGAAGCACTCACTTGACAATAGTATTAGTGTTGAGAATCCGTATATTTTTCTTTACTAATATTGAGCGTAATAGATCTCCACACTGATTTCAGATTGATGAAGAAATGCCTTTCTTGGTGTCTGCTGGATCCTGGCATTGACATGCGTAATGTGCACACATATATTGTTCTTCCTCAAGCTAGGTAGACAGCTTGTTCCGGTTGTCAATTCTCAATCCAGATAATTGTGAATCAGAGAAGATGAGAATGGTTATTTTCATTTTATTTAAAATAAGGATGAGATCGATTTAGCTAGAACATTATATCAGTCCAATGAAGATGTATTACTTTTGTCTTTAGCTTGGAAACTCAAGCATCAAATGCTACTTAAGTGTCTCTTTTGGTTACAGAGGCATGCTAGGGTTGTCAGGTTGTTAAGACGTTGGTATTAGATTTTTCTGATGAAGAAAATCGCAAACGTCGAAACAGAAATTGGTCAGATTTTTAAGGACACCATTCGAATCCATATAGTGTCGAACAGCTTCATAAACCATCTAAGTAACTCAAGCTTTCCCACTTACAACTTTTAAGCGGTAAGTAGATTATTTTTTTCAAGTGTGAATAACAGTAACTCGTTTAATTTACATAAATCAAACTATTCTATTGTATGCATAACAAAAACTTGAGAAAACAATATATTTTTGCCTTTACTTCTACCATTAATTAACAGTATGAATAACCGTTTTTTTTATAGGAAAATATCTTTCAGCGATTTCTACTAATCTTCAAAACGTTTTCTTTTGTTACTTCAATGTATTAGAGAAATATGATAAAGCTTTGCTAAAAATAACTTTGAAACCGAATCAATTCCAACAGATTGAATATGTTGTATCTGAAAATAATTCAACGTGTTCAACATATTAAAATCCCTTCCAGACGGTAAGCAACATCACGTATATGACTTCATTACTGCTGGATTTTGTCAACTAAAACCTGAAATGATTTAAATTGACACATAACGTTCATTGTTCTTCTTATTCATGCAAATATGTATGTAAGTGGAAAATTGATAATGAGTTTTAATCATATAACTAATGATAATTTTTAGCTCACTGGATTCAACATATTTCCATGAATTTAAAAAAAACATTAAATAAAGCATAGTTGTTTTACGAATTTAATTGATAGGAAAACTTTATAACTATTTTTATTAGATTAAATTTCATGAAAATAACTACTGATCTGTTTAAAACCTTTATTTTTTTTCCACTTAAGTCATAAGTACTGCCTAAACTGCTTTTACTGCTCGATTGTGTATGGTTAAGCCGACTGACTTACCTGTAAAACTGCATGGTACTTTAGCTTACTAAAAATTTATTTAGGTCAAGCACAAATTAGTTAACATTTTCATCATAATCCATATATATATATAGAGCATTGCTTTCTTGATACTGTCTTTTCAAAACATCTTGAAGCCTATGGATATTGTTCGCACAACATAATCAAATGAAGTTAATAAACGAATTGCTAATGAGTGACGACTGAAAGTGAGACGGAAATTCAGGCTGTGGAAGGATTAGAACCGGTGATCACTAGGTTTCTATCTCCCGGTGCTCTAACAACACACCTACGAAACTTGACTGCTGAAAAGACTTTTATTTCATTTCGCTCATCACTCAATATCAATACCCGTCTGCCGAACCACGGCTATCTCAGATAGTCAAAATGATAACAAAGGAATTCTCTAATTTACATTGATTCTGTTATATTTGGTGGATAATAAGCAATTTCTTGTTGGAAAAAACAATAACCAATCACTTTTTGAAGGGAGAATTCGCACTAAAGGAAATAACTGAAGTTTAATGTGAGGCACTAGGAGTTGCCCTAGTATTTTTTATTACGAAATGAATTTATCTTATGTCTAATTCCTCTAGGCCGACACTGCAATAAGCTTCACATATCTGAATGTTGTTGAACTATAGGCTATGGCGTTTACAAAATCTACCCACATTTAAGCCAAATGAGAGTTCCAAACAGTTCATTAGGTTTGCACAGAATGTGATCGTAATAAAACAATGATTCTTTAAAATTACTCTTAGAATTAATAAAAGACAAACCAGCGAAGAAAATTTTCTTTTCGACGAACCATTTTCAGGCGGTGTATTTACAGCAAAATATACATAACGATCTATGGTGAATGGGTCGATCCAGGGTCATCGTAAACAGTCAATGAAGTTACAAAGTGATAACAGACAGAAGGTCAACTCAAGGTCATCATAATCTGTCTTTAGGAGATTATGGTCAAGGCAAAATTGGAGATTGAATGTGTCTCTTCTGAACACAAAGATAAGGTTTGAATAGCTGGACTAATAAAACCGCTGTTGCATTAGGCGGCGAATACGCAATCTCTTTGAAAGTTTGCCTTCACTTTATAAATGACCTGGGAAGAAGAGTTTCGGGATGAACAATCATCAGAAATAACGAAATGCTCAAGAAGCAACGTGTGGATGGTCTCACACTGGCCTTCGACGGCCAAGTAGGATAGTTGTTGGAGATGCTTTGAGATGGAACGCACGGAATAATTTTTATGTTAATTTCTTCGTATTATATTCTTAGTCGCTTGTAATGTTTTAAGGACGGGTGTGCTATTTCTTATATTCAAGAGTTTTGGCTTTTATTCAATTCAGAGGTTTGTGGGTATTCATTGATGTCATGGTAGTAATAATTGACTGATTTCTGTTGGAGAACCACTGAATATCTAGAAGTACTGTGATGCACTCCTCAGCAGTGTGTACTCACGACCGCACCTGAGATCAGACTCATGATCGTCAGGTTTCACGATGAGCAACTCAGCCAATGGGTTGGAATCAGTTTGTTCGCACTTCTACTACTTCTTTCTAATGTTGATTAGTGGCAGTTATTGGGATGGATTTTTTGAAGTTCTAGTGGAAGGTTGTGGCCTTTGGGAATCAACCGTTTTGAGCGTTTTTATGAATACTCGCTGATGACATAGTAGGATGTTCATGCTGCATCAGAGACTGACTGAAATGGAAATTCTCGACCAGTGACTGCATATCAAAATCCACATGAAAAGGTATGATAGTCGCAATTTTTTATTTCTGTTGGGGTTGTGGGTGAGGATTCTCATATCATACAAGAAGTCTTTGATTGTTCTACAGTTAGTTTCATCCCATGACGAATATTGGTTTGATTCTAATCTGTGTGTCTTATCATAACTCAGCGTAACTGACTTGGAGTCCTAACAAAGTTTTCATTATACATTGTCACTAACGCATTTAGCATCTGAGTGAATTGCTGAATTATCTATTGCATACTCTTCTCAATGTTACCACGAATACAATATAGTTGAAAGGAGTAGTACTGTTCAGATGTTTATAGTTACTTCTTTAAATTAGCTAATCTAAGTCGTCTAGTTTTCATTTCGTCAGAATATAACAACACACTTGGTGTAATTATTCTCCACTGCACTGTATTGGCTTACAAATATCTTCTTAAACTAAAATATAAGTCTTCCAGAAAATATGACATCCGCAAATATAATTAAAATTTCACACACACAAAGGTGGTTTCAATTTGTGTCTGGTTATCGCTTCAACAAATCTTAGGATATTTCAACTACTCCAACTAGGTCACTTCCTGTTTGCTCTCATCTTTCTTTATTTTAATCTCCTATTTTGTTAATTGTTGCATTTATACCTCCACTCCTCGGTCTAATATGTACAGACGTGACACGTAAATGTGTGATCAAATTGTTCAAAATGTATTACGCAAATGTATCACATTGTTCAGATAAACTTCGTCTTCTAATTACGCTATCAGAATTTCTATTCAAGGTCGATCAGGTCATGAAATAACAACTATATACTAAAGCCGATGCATCAGTTGACTCGTTCAAGTAAACATGATCACTGTTTGTATTATTATTCTCAGAAAAGTTAAAATGTAATGCAATGTTGATGTTTCAGCAGCTGTTTATACCACACCTTTTGACCATGAGAATGGCTCACCCTTCTTGTATACAAAATAAATTTCTTGGAGTTTGGCTTTTTGTAAAAGAGGATCAAAATGTCGATAGGCTGAGCTATTGGTCACCTTAAGCAATGTATTTTCCTGAAAGTAAACGGTTATCCAGTTACATAACACAGTCAAAAGTATGTAACTTCAAAGATGATAAAATCAAATGACATAAGAGTCGGGGTGAAGTGAAAATACTCCTGTATTCCAGCAAGTATTCTGTCCAGATAGCTTGTGTCAGATGGAAAGGTACTTTTGCCGCTTATTTAGTAATATAATACAGCTAGAGTCTTAGAGTGAATAGTTATCCTCATCT